CAATAAACTGATGAGATGTCGTAATGTAATGGGGCACCAATTATGAGTAAGAGAGAAAAGTGATGTATAAATATGCTAGTGTGTGTGCTCAAACAGTATGTGTACAAACCCAAAATTGTACACCCCTACTTAAACATATCATATGCATAAGGGGAAATGCGCTTGTCAATATCTAGATTTCTTCCTTAGCCTGTCAAACGAGATATACCAAATAAATGACCCATTACAATATTAATTAATTCATTCAATCATGCACCTTCCGATCCGCTTTATGCTCACAATGTTCGCGGGGGGTGCTGGAGCCCATCCCAGCCATCTTCGGGCCGTAGGTGGGGAACACCCCGAACCGGTCGCCAGCCAATCACAGGGCACACACAGACACGTACAACCATCCAAGCCCATGCTCACACCTAGGGACGATTCAGAGTGTTCAATCAGCCTGCCATGCATGTTAATTGCAATATTAATATCAAGCAAATGAAAACACACAAAGAACGAGAGGTCGGACTAGACAAGTTCATTGTACTTCCTCCTACACCCTCTCAAAACACTATTACCTGTTTATATGCCCAACAAACAAACAGACAAACAAACACCCATCAGGAAGCAGGAATAAAGCAGCAGGGTTAAGTACTGTGCATTTTTCCAGTGTTAAATGGGATCGACACTACTACATAGCCATGCAAAATAAATGCCTAGCAGGCGACAAAAACTTCATGTTAGTGTGCAGCAGCTCATCCATTTGTTTTTTTTTTTCCTAGCACTCCTCCAGCATGCAGAGTTCGCACCATACAATGCTCAAGGCCGCCAAGTGGCTTAATCTACGCCGCAACCGTCTTTGGTCAACACCACCTAGGGTGTGTGATTTTCCAAAAATGCCACTGCTGACCTTAAAATGTGCAGTCAATCTAAGTTAACGAAGCCAATTTCAAATTCTCCACACGTGAACTCGAAACATAAACATTGATTTAAGATGGAAGATCTTGCTCTTGTGACGAACGAAATTAGAAATCCAGCCTGTGTATGCACAAATCAGACATGGCTTAAAATTTTACGTTTTTTTCATGACTCAAACCAACATGAATTTGTATGTTCGACGACAGCTTCAACTCTAGTCATTTCATTTCATAATGAGGGAAGGCATAACACAAACCAAGGATAGCAAATTTGTAACCGAATTTACATAATTTCTTGACACAAGACCATCATTTTTCCCACATCAGGAGCCGTGATGGCTCTTCTCATGTGTCAAGAGAAATGTGCATCTTGTGAACGTAATCTATGAAACAATGTGATATATTCAGAACATTGTGGCAATTCGCAGCGTAACAGAAGTAGTTATAAAACAAATAATAAGGTAATTAAAACCCACAGACATGTAACTGTCACAAATCATCCAAATCAAGGCCTTCATTGTATACTTACACATTCTACCTCCTCCCAAAAAGATAACAACATCCCACATACGTCCACTGACGACCACTTAACACAAACAAAATTTGCGTCTATGACTTACAAACAACTTTCAAAGCATCTCGTGACCTTCCGGCCCTTTTCAACCTAAACACATGATGACCTCCTCTTTCGTAACATCAATGTGTCAAACCTCACCTGCCTGTTCCTTTTTTATTCTCAACATACTCAACTTCCATTTTCACCTTACGTCTCACCATCAACATTTTCACTTGCCTTTCACCCACGAAAAGTATCCAAAACTCTCTGTGTCACCACACCCATACTCAACCATTTTCTGATGAACACATACTTCATGTAGCGCCGGTTGAAATAATGAAGCTGAAGCGGCGTTAGGAATAACAATTAACACAGTTTCAATTGCAAGTAATTACAATTGATGCAGTAAAAACCTCCTACACTGCAAAAGCCAGAATTTTTTTTCATCCGCTTGAACACCTCACCTCATCCAAATATCGAAATACA